CCCGGCCGTTACAACGCTTTTATTGGTTCCGCTATCGGGACGGAACCAATAATGGCAAGTCGTTATTTTTTTTAAATAAAAAAAAAAAGTCAATTTTAATGTTTTATTTAGATTACAAAAATTAGTTATGATGTTTTAAAAATTAAGACCTACGAAAGACTGATTTAATACATTTTAATACCAATTAAGGCCTTAGTTTGATTTTGAAGAATTCAATGCCTTTTAAGACTTTTTAAGGACCCGTAGGAACCCTGTAAAAGTTCTCACACTGTACGGCCCGATGCTGTGATGCGATCTACCTGCTCACACTGGATGTCTAAAAACCAAGTTGGACTCAAGTTGGACTAATCTGGAAGCAGAAGAACTCCCTTGTTTGTACATGCGTAGTCCGTGAGGTTCTGGTAAATTGGCTCGTAGCTCAGCTTTAACAGCAGGAATTACCCACCAAACACTCAGGAGGACCGACTAAAACATATTTGATTTTCTCCCGACCTTCTGATTCCTGATGGGGAGGTGGTCATTAGAGGCTGATCGGCCCTCGTTACCCCCTGTACACTACACCAGGCACCATCAGGCTGAAAATCGACCCGATCGAAAAATTCTCACACGACTGGAAAATCAGCCCAAAGAAATCGTAGTGTTCGCCCGGCTTAAGACAATTAGATTATAGGCACTTGACATGTGACAATGCAATAGTTCTTGTTCCATTGGTAAAGTGTCTCCCTTTCCTCCTCAATTCAAGAAAAAAATTAATATGTCCAGACAGTGATTTACATCTGTGGACTTTTTATTTAATAACACATTCTGTTCAAACAGTTCAGCAGCAGCCGTGACAAATATGAGCAATAAATGAGAAAAATATATAAAAAAAAAAAAAAACTATTTAAACCTACTGACGCAAGAAAACGAGATAAAGGGCAGGCAGACAACACACAGGTAGTAATGTTAAAAATAAAAAACATTTTTAATGTTTAATTGTTCTGTTAAAGGCCTAAAAGTACAGAACTACAGCACAATGAAGCAATCCTGCCATGATCTGAGTCACGCTTTAAAAACGCTCCTGGTGGAATAACTGCATCATCATCTATGAGCTGCTTTCACATCGCAGAGGGACCACTGGGAGCTAAAGTGTAAAGAGGAAACTGCCTGAAGCTTTGAAATGATGTAATAAAAAAGAATACCAACGCTACACCAGTGGGTGGCGCTGTAACTCTACTATACAAGTAGAGGAAGAAGGAGGGATAAAGCATGGGGTGAATTGTGAACCATGTGTGAAGAAGCAAAGTAATGGACTAATGGGACAGCCCATTCAAAAGCAGCGATGAGAGACTACATGGCAAAGCTCTCAATGGGAAAAAACGTACCGACAAATCGCATCTTATTCACTATTCCAGCTTAGAAAATGAAAGCAAGTGTCTGTGTGTCTGTCCATCCATCTGACAGATGTTTCAAATCAGATAAACTGCATGTTGCTGCTTTTTAGGATGACAGAATTGTAGACCAGTCTTTTTCAATCCTGGTCCTCAAGGCACCCTGCTCTGCATGTTTTGGATGTTTCTGAGGTTCAGCAAACCTGATTAAGATTATTGCAGTTGAGCAAAGCCTGATAATCTGCTATCAATTGATAACAGGTGTGTGAAAGCTGGGAAACATCTAAAACATGCAGGGCAGGGTGCCTTTAGGACCGGGATTGAAAAACATTGATGTAGACAGACCGGAAACCTGTGACCTACATCCTTCTCCAAAGGTGACGGATGAGGAACCACTCTGTGAGATGTAAATAAAACTTCTGGACGAAAAACTACTCAGGATTTCTCAAAGACTATTAAAGTGATGTTACACCAGAGCTGCAGTAATCATTCATTGTAGGCATGAGCAGATGGACTCATTGGAAGTGTTGTAAATCGCGTACCTCTCAACATAGATGCTTTCATTGGTTCCCAGGAAGTAGAGGCTGTTCAGTATTCTATAGCAGGAGACCTGGACTTCTTCCACTACAGCAAAGGGGACCAGAACATTGGAAACATCAACATTCATCTCAGAGAATGAAGAAACTTCATCATCATCATGACTTTACGCACGCATGAGGTCCTCTCCGAACATGTTCTGAGCGATGTGCTCAAACAGGGAGGAGAGCACGGGCAGCAGGGCGAAGGTGGTGTAGTTGATGATCTGAGTGACACCGCGTGGTTGCTCTCTGCTGTGGGTAAACTGACCCAGCTTCAGGTTCTCCTGAGTTTTCTCCAAATCTTCTGCCACGCTGTCAAAGTAGGAGCGCAGAGCCGCCTTCACCGACTCCAGCCCGGTCTTCATCACTGTCCTGGGAGGAAGAGGTTTGATGTTAGCTTAGTTCTTCTCACATACATCTCTGTTTTTTCCTTCATATCTGGAATTTTTTCATGGATCTATCCGAACAAACAGTACCTGGCATCTAGACTTTGTCCCAGAATCTGAAGGCAGCTAACAATAGATGTTGCATTGTTACCTGGAAAGGACAAACCCCATAAATTAGATAAAAGATCCTCAGAACAATCAACAGGTGTAGCTGCGACCAAATGTCCCAAATCTACACCAGATCTTGGAAGCTTCCAGCCCTTAGTATGACGTAGCATTAGGGCCAGGCTAGAGGTTTTCTTATTTTTTTATTTTGACTTTAAAGTCGTAACATTACGAGTATGAAGTCATCATATCACAACCCGCTTCAGAAAGAAAGCTTGGAGCTCCGCCCAGCAGATGACTGTCGACCAGCTCCACCAATCAGCAACCTGAATCCACTTTTGACATCCTGCCCAGTTTGCTGTTTGATGCTGCTGCTAAAAGATAACTGCTAGCATGTCTTTATCTATCCTGTTCCCAAAGATTAGCTTAATGCCCTCCAGAGAAGTTCTGCTGCTCCTCCATGCAGCGCGGCTAACTGGGCCAATTTAGGTTAAACTGAAGGAGTTTAGATCGACTAACACAACCACAGAAAGTTTATTCTGGATCCTTGGATCCATTAAACAGTGGAATTAATCTGGACCAGATTCTGGATCCGTTCACGGTTCTGCTCCAAACAGGCATTCCTTCACTTCCAAGTAAAAAAAATCAACACCGGCGGCCTCTAGTGGACATCTGTGACATTACAGCACTAAAAAAAGATTCTTTCTAAGAGGACGTTCTCAGTCAATTGGATTGAATTAATTTTAGTCTAATAAATCATCAACTAACAACTAATCGTATATCCCAGAAACAAGGGTGGTGATATGGCTGTATATTTGGGGAAATTTGTAAAACAGTAGAAATTACGATGTTCAAACACACTGCAAATACAGAAACACCCAGCATATGCAAAAAGAACTGCAAACAAGCAAACTTGACTAACACACAAAAACATGCAATGGAAAAATGCTGCAAATAGTAAAAACAACAACCGGAAGTTAAGAAAAGCTTCAAGCTAGCTACTGAAAACAAAGTTGTTGGTTTATCTTGTTTGATGAAAATAAACAAAACAAAACAAAAACAATGGCCACCGAAAAAAATTGATTCTGACAAAAGGTTATTAGAAATAAAAATTATCCCAAAATGAAGGTCAGAAATTGCTTTTCAATCATGCTTCGAAAGAATGATTTTATGAACCAGGCTGGGACTAAAATGATTATTTCCCAGGAAAACATAGAAAATAATATAATCAGAGGGACCCATTGGATTCAGGTGTGTCAGCTAATCAGTGTTTACAGTCAGTGGTCCTAAATGCAGGGCTACAGGCTGCCACTGCTTGGTGACATGCTGTGTACCACACCCAACATGAACCAGAGGAAGCCAGGGAAAGAGTTGTCTTGTACCCCTTTCCAGTGGCCGATAAACCAGTTTAAACCCGGCAATAATGGTCATGAAGTGGCAGTGGGAACAGCTCACTGAAGCGTTTCTACCCAGGTCAAACGACTCGGTAAGTGACCCACGTTAAAATCTCCTCGGCATTTTATGCTGTGTAAACACCAGAGCCGGGTCGACACGTTAAATTACGTGACACCACTGAACACAACGTGTGTACCTCAACACACCGCTTCAGTCGCTTCTGATCTAACAAGCTGAAACAACTCCGTTTACATTCGATAAACATGGAGCAGCTCTGGTGAGAGGGATTCAGAAAGATAATAGAGAGAAACATTAGCCCCATTAACATTAGCCAAGATTGGTCCGAGCAAGGTAACCGAGATAACAATTGAGTGTAAATGGCACGCACACAACTGAACCACGCTAACATGGTACTGGTTCATCAGTAGGGCTCGGTGCGGTTCAATTCTGGCTCGGTTCTCAGCTAACCAAGAGCGCATGATTAGACCATGTCATCTCAACGTCTGTCATTGTTTCCTGCGTCTGGAAGCCCTGATTAGACTATTGTTTGTCGTGTCCACTTCCCAAAAGCCGACTCTGTAAAGTAAATTCACTAAAGGCTGAACTCTGCAAACAACAAAATATCACAATTACAACCAAACTTCCTGAAAGTCAAGGGGCGCCGCCATGTTTGTTTGCTTGTTTACCTCTAGAGAGCAGTAGTACTGAAGATTGCCAGTAGGAGGCGAGGAACCATGCTAGCGTGATGTGTAAATATTCGTGAGGAACTGAGCTTGGCACGGTTAACTGATCCAGACTTGGTCCAAACTCTGCATGGATCGGTTTCAGAGGGTAGTGGAAATGGAGCTGGTAAAGCACACTGACTATGCCCTGGCTACCTTCCATGTTGCTCTCCATTGTTTACATCCCTGATTTCTGTCACACTCTTCACTGCGGGGGGTCAGAGGCCACGCAGCTGCCAGCGAGGGGTTAGACCAGCTTTTTCTGGTAGTGGGAAGGGAGCCAAATGCTAATTGTTAGCGGGTCGACCTACGTCTGAAAAACACGCATTAACCCGATATTTTCAGTGGCAAAGAGGCTTAAAAATAAAGAGAACTATAGAGCAGCCTGTTAAAGCTAAAGGCTATCGGACCATTTCCAAGCAGCTGGTGTTCCTGTAACTACAGCTGGACTTTTTATTCATAAATATAAGATCCAGGGACTGTAGGTAACCTCCCCGGTGAATGTGTTTATTTTTTCTATTATTCTGTTAAAGCATCGTTGAAAAACAATGTCGGACTTCAAGTTATTTCTGTGACCATCTTTGGTTTTTCTTTCATTAAATAACAGGTACCAACAATTTTGTTTATTGGGATGAAATGTGTTTAAGTTGATATATTTTAAAACTTTTTAAATAGTCAATTTAAATCACAAAATATCATTTCAAAAGTATCGGTACTGATATAAATTTTTCCCCAAACATATTGGCATCATTTTGAATCCAAAAAAAGGTGAAAGACATTTTACTCTCTCACAGAAGCAGGAACCTGCAGCTATTTCAGTGCATTTTTAGAGAGTGATGACATGCCAAAAACAATTAAATAAAATAAAGACACTGACACTGTTTCAAAAAAAAAAAAAAAATATATATATATATATATATATATATATATATATATATAAAGAGAAAATTCAAAGCATGAGATCGAGCAGCCTTACCGAATAAGGAGATCCTATGTCTGACAAGAACCCCCAGTTTGCAAAAAAGACTGAAAAGATTCATGGATGAGAAAGTTAAATTAGAGAGAGAGAGAAAATAAAGACAAGATGTGGAGATAGAGGATCGTTAGTTCAGCTTCCATGCAGCTGAGGCCCGAACCACGAAGCCTGTCCAGCATAGTGGTTTTACTCCCAGTTTACCCAGTCCTCCAAGCTGGTTACCAACTCAATCCAGCTTCATGGATCATTAATCTGTGAACTTATAAATTGGCGGGTTTAAGCTAGCAGACCAATCAGAATCATGGGCGCAGAAGGCAGAGCGCCGTATTTCTGCTATCTGATAGAAATTTGAAGAACAAAAAAGTCTTAATGAAAAGTCAAAAATGGTGGCGACAGGAAAGAGACACCAAACATGGCGGTAAAGGATCGCTGACTGCGTTAATCCATATTGAACGCAGCCTGCACACCAATCACTGCAGATTAGGGGGAGTGGCGGCCGAGAGGTTAGAGCATAGAGCTTGGAAACCTGAGGTTCTGAGTTTGAGCCGAACTCCCACAGCCTGCACTCTGGGTCCCTGAGCAAGACCCTTAATCCCCAAACTGCTTACCGGGCGCCGCACAATGGCAGCCCACTGCTCCCCAAGGGGAGGGGTTAAATGCAGAGAGGGAATTTCTCCAATGTGAGATCAATAAAGTTCAATTATTATTAATGGAGGGAGGAGGATAGAAATAAAACCCAGAAACATTTTTTATCTGCTTAGCTGGACTTTTTCATTCTATAATATTTAGGCTCCAATAAAACTGGAAGCTGATGATTGCATCATGTTAAAACAGGAAGTGACTGACGGAAATCATCCGGATTTCTGGATGAAGTTTTTTATGTTTATTTTACTTGGCAGTTTATTATTATCCCTCATCTGTGCAGCTTCAGTGGAACATCTACTCTTCTTATTGATACTGTTACAGTAAATAGTAAAAATAAAAATAAACAGCACCTTATGAAAGTATTCGCACCCTTGAACTTTGACCTTTGGCCAAATTTCAGCTTTCAAACATAAAGATATAAAATTATATTTTTGTGAAGAATCAAATCTCTATCAGTTCTGCAGGGGTGTCAAAAGTTTCATGTTTATCACTCCATTATAAACCCTACTGTTTAAAGAACACTTTTATAGAAGTTAGAGGATCAAATTCAGCTTTTTACTCCAGTAAAAGTATAAAGTTTTAAAACTACTGAAAGTATAAAAGTAAAAGTAATGCAGGAAAATCTGTGAAGGCCAGAAGCTTTACTGCTCTACCCTATTAAAGGAATATTTTTCCTTTAATAGGGATGATACCTTACTTAACAGTGTCACATTTAACTTTGCATCATCTTGAAAAACTTTATTTTGTTTTGCAGCGAACAACAAGTTGGGGCAGCACCGAGTCCATCCACAAAGAAATTAATTGTCTGGATGAAACTAATTATTTTGATGGTTTTTATTATTAAATACCAACAGGCCATAATGAAAATGAGCTTAAATGAAACAAAACGAGTCTATTTTAGAAAAGTAAGGTTGTCTAAAAATTAATTACCCCATTAAAGTACAGCTAGCCAACTTTTCCTTATTACAAATACTTTATTACTTAATTAAGATATCAAAGTATTTGTACTTTCGTACTTGACACTTCTGTAGTTCTGCACATCTAGACTGTAATTTTTTTCCATTCTTCCTGCAAACATCTGGAGTTCAGTGAGGTTGGATGGAGAGCGTCTGTGAACAGCAGCTTTCAGTTCTTTCCACAGATTCTGGACTTTGACTAGGCCATTCTAACACCTGGATGTGTTTATCTGTGAACCAATCTATTGTAGATGTTGCTTCATGTTTAGGGTCATCGTCTTGTTGGGAGATAAATCTCTGTCCCAGTCTCAGGTCTCACCCTAAGAAGTATTAACTGAAGGGGGCAGAATCATTTTGCACCTCCAGTTTGACCCAGACATGAAGCCGCTGGTTGCGTAATACCTGATGGGGTCTGGGATGCAGTGAGGAACAAACTGCTGCAGCTCCAGCAGCCAGGATTATATAAGTAATTGTCATAGCAATCCAAAGGATCTTTATTATATATTTTTTTATTTTAGCTTTGTAAATCAATCTTAGAATAAAGCAGTGAATGGCAGCGGTGGATGAGGACATTATAGAGGAGAAAACTAATACAGAATAGTAAAAGGCTGGGATATGAAAATAGAGGAAAAAACACTAAGAACATATTTTGTTTAAAATGCTTTTTGGTTTTTACTTACTTTATTCTCTCTAATTTTTTTTTTCTTTTCCCTCTGAATTAAATCAGGTCTTCAATCAAAGGACACATTGTCATTGTTTCCTAACAGCTGATTGGCTGCTGGGTGGATTCAGATCCATCCTGAAAGTTAGCCCGTTACCATGGTGACCAGCCTGGCTAAGATTGAGTCCAGCTTCACTGGAAAGTCAGGGTTAAACCTGAAGTTATCTGGCTAACCCAGTAATCCTGCTTCCTGGTTCAGACCTCAGCCGCTGCACACATCCAGCCGCTGGATTTCCTCACCTGGTGACCATCTCCTTCTCCTTATTGGAGGCGTGGCCTCCGCTGCTGATGGGATGGATGGCTGTGGACAGGAAGTAGAGCCTGTGGTTTTTAAAGTACTGATCCACCAGCGGTAAAACAACCTGTGGGCAAAAAGAAGCATTTTAACAGGGCCGGACCAAGCAGAGACAGCTCCAGGGCAACCAGAGGGGCCCCAAAACAATTCTTTGTCTTTTTTTTTTTTGCATGAATGTTGATTTCATATAAATATAAAAAGTTAGAAAAATATTACTCAGATAATTTTGACAAACCGATGTTTTCTAACTTGGTTATTGAATTGAATGGTTACCAGGAATAAATGAGCTACTGGCTGAAATAATAACCTACTTAATACAGCTATTAAGATAAAACTACATAACAATTTTATTAAAAAAGTATTTAATTACATTAATATGTGTGTATATTGTCTCTTCACACTTTTTGCTAATTTAAATTACTTTAAACAAACCAAAAAAAAAATTTTCTAAATAAAAAATATTTTCTTATCTAAAACATTTTATTTATTACAAGTATCCATATTCAGATTAACCTATTATTTCAATAACATTATCAATAGAATAATTAATTACTAAAATAATTGATAGCTGCAGCTATCTTACCATAAATATTTTTAACTATATAGAAATTGTAATTTATACGTCGAAACCAGAATGAAACACAGATGAGGACAGAAAAAATGCACATTATTCGGTTGATTTGATTTAATAATTTTTGCTTTTATTCAATTTAATTTATTATTTTAATTAATCAAAGTTAATTTATTTTTTTGTTGTTATTTTTTCACATTTTTGCTGCTGCAGTTGAAACTCAACAGTATAAACTAAAAGAACTTTTACTTTAAATAAAGTAGTTTATTAATTTGATCCATTTTAGTAACACTAGATGATTCATTAAAATAAGGGTTGTAAACAGTCCTGCCGGAGCTGCAGTGACTAACTGTCGCTGAGTGAACAATCTGATCATAAAGGGGCCCCAAACTCTAATTGCTCCGGGCCCTTGGAGTCTTTTAGGCCGGCCCTGTCCTAAGATGAGCAAAAATATTTCCAAACACCGATTCTGATCGGACTGATAATTGATCGACTTTTAGATCATTATTGTTCGTGGGGATGAGATCAAGACATGTAAGATATGGAAATACTAAAAACAATGAAAATAAAGAAGAATAAGAAAAAAAGTTACCTTTCCAAAGAACTTTATCTGCTGCTCATGAGGAATCTTCCCTCCTTTAAGCTTCGTTCCCACATCTGAACAGAAACAGATCAGAACAGATTTCCAAACATCAGGCCACTTAGTTCAAGCAGATAATTATTGTTTTATTATTCTTGTTATCAAGCTAATTATTAATTTCAGTGAGTAAAAGAGGAAATAGTCTGATTCAACCTCATAAAAGTACCAGTTTTAAAACAACTTAAGTAAAAGTAAAACTAAAAGTAATGCAGGATAAAATGTTAAGGCCAGAATCTTTACTGCTCTACCCTATTAAAGGAAAATTTTTCTACAATTCTGGATGATAACTTCCTTAGACTTCATTTTCTTAGTTTTATAACTAATGGTAACACTGTCACGTTTAATTTTGCATCATCTTGAAAAAAAAAACGTTTTATTTTGGTATGTGGTGAGCAACAAGTTGGGGCAGCACCGAGTCCAACCACAAAGAAATTAATTGTCTGGATTAAACAAATTTTTTTTTATGGTTTTTATTTTTAAATACCAACAGGCCATGATGAAAATGAGCTTAAATGAAACAAAAATAAAAAATCTATTTTTAAAATGTAAGGATTAAAAACTTGTCTAAAAAACATTTACTCCAGTAAAGTATATATATATTACAAGTATTTCTACTTTGTTACTCGACACTCTGGGATAACAGGGTTTATACAGGAATGATGAACTGTAATGTAATGCTTTTTAATGCTATATATCTATCTATATATTAGGGGTGTAAATAATAATCGTTTTGTATCAATGCATCGATCCAACAGCCGACGATCCGATGCATCGACACGTACGCAAGAGAATCGATTAATGTTTTTTTTTTCCTCCGGTCTATTTTTATCCCTTTGATCCTGGGCGTAATTCTTCTCCCGTGCTGCGGTGGCGCTATACCTATTTTGCCCTCCTACCTCGCTTCCTGGTTATACTCTTACAGCAGTGTTTCACAGTGAGCTTGACACAGACATTTTTAAATTATGCTCAGTATTGAAGCGTGGTCTGTGCTACACGCTGTGGGTCTAGATACGGCCGAGGCGGTGAGGAAGTGGGGGCGAGTTTGTGCGACAACGGAGGGACATGAGGGCCAAAAAGAGCGGAGATCCAGGTGGAAAAAGGGTCCCAGCGTTCTCGCGCACCTCACTCCTCTAGCAGGTCAAACTTTGCGAGATGTTTTCCGCAATTTTGGTCATGAAAACAAAACAAGCTGGCCTCCTGTCTGTGGCACTGTCTGCGGTCAGCTACAATCTGGGAGAGGTGGAGCGGAGCATCTGTGGGGGTATCGGAAATAATAGAATCGTTGGGTCAGGAAATCGATACTGAATCGAATCGCCATGATGGATGTGATTTACACCCCTACTATATGTATATATATATATATATATATATATATATATANTATATATTTCTAAAAAATACGTCAAACTCCTTGGTCATCTTTAGCGTGGACAGGCTGCAGCCATGTCCATAATTCCTGGTTTTCCAACTACTTTTGTTGAAATTTACATTTTCCCATTCTCTGGCTTTTTCTCCGCCTTGAGCTTCTTTTCCGAACATTCCGAAGTTATATCTGATTATATATATCTGATTAAATTGTTTTTATAAACTTTTTTTTAGGTAAAGCATTTTAAATGCAACCATAATCACATTTAATAAATTTAAATGGCAATTAAGGCCTTAATTAAAAAAAAAATAATAATTTAATGAATTTTAATTACTTTTAATGACCCACAGAAACCCTGAATAAGGATCATGTGACTCTTTTTAAAGCCTGTATTTACATCTGCTCCACGTAGAGCTAGAATATTAGTTCTAACTGATGTAAATCTTGGAAGGATGAACTTTCTTGTGTTTTCTTTAGTTTAACACTATAGTTCCTAGAAGCTGTTTTTTCATCACCAATCAATCATTTTTGGAGCTTATCTGGTCTGCAAAAGTTTAACAAGATGCAAAAATGTGCATTTTTAAGCAGTAATTAAACAGTGCAAACCGAAAAACATCCAGCTGCAGACGCATAGATCAACTGGAGCGCACAAATCGCCGACTTTTATGGAGGGAAATTAGTCGCAAAGAGCATGTTTTGTAAATTGTTTTTTGAAAAAATTGAACTTTAATAAACATCCCAATCAGGGGTGCTGCTATGGTATGAACCAACATACCGGCTGTTGCTGGTTTGAGTCCCTGTCCTGCAGACCTTTGCCGAACGTCTCTCCCCTAAAACCCTTCCTCTCTGAATACTTTAAAAACAACAAAATAAAGACCACCAGAGCCTGAAAATTATTAAAAATATATATCTTAATTAAAACAATTTTAGAAATTTTTTTTACTTAATTTCCGCCGATTTTTTATTTTGAAATCCTATTTTTTTCAAATTTCGTTTTTTTTATTTGAGTTGTGTTAATTACATCTTTCCTTAAATTATGTTTTCTAGATCAGTTGCAGCCAAATCCAAATGCTGGCTTTGACCAATTATAACATCTTTGCTAACGCTCATCTGACCAATAGAAATTCATCTTTGCTTCTCCGACCAGCGGAAAGTCCCGCCCCCAGAAAGGAAGAGAATGAGATCTGAAACGTGCAACATGAAAATAATGAATTTCTTAAAACTAAATCTGAAAAACTGAAGAATAAAAAAACATTTATTTTTCTATTTTTTAAGGGAACAAAATATAAATGGAAAATTGAAAAAAAAAAAAATCTGAGAAAACAGGAAAGTTTCTCTAAAAACCTTTGTTTGATGAAGTTTTTCGGTCCCAATTTCTGGATTACATTTGATTAATTTTCCATTTACAAAATGCGCTCTTTGCTGCACAATTATGGAACAAAACTCACTCCATAGTTCCACAAATCCCGCCGCACTTTTCAGAGACAAATTCAGCGCTGAAGTCAAATAGCTATTCAAATGACACCACCTTCTTGTTGTTTTTTTGGTAACCGATCGTTTCTCTCTAAACACCAACATGTTAGTGAAGATCGCTCCATCATTAGTAATGAGAAGAGCTTTACCAAACTCCATCATATGGTGGTGGGCCTGGTCTACGTATGTGATGAGCTTCTGGAGGAAGGTGTAGGCAAATCTCTTCTCAATAGCTGGAGTGTCCAGCTCTGGAGACTTCTTTCCTCTGAAACAGAACACAGAGCAATTATCTTATCTCCTTTTCCTTTATTGATAGAAAATATTCAAAAGGTTTGGATGAGT